TCCAACCTCTACCGTTCTGTGATTCTGTGATAACTGTGAGCAGATTCAAGCCCTGTGTTAGTTCTTGCAAGGCACTTCTGTGCATGAGCCTATAGTTTTCAATAGCTGCTACAAGAAATGCAAACGCAGGTTGCCCTGCAGTTTTCCTGGGAGGGAAGGAAGTCCCATATTTGACTTTTCAAGTGAAATTTGGACCTTCTGGGTGATCTGTGACACCAGTGTGCTGGTTTTCTCAGTCATTCCTGATGTGTCAAGCATGTTAAAGATCAAGCAAGCCACATCTGCGCTGTTTACATGAGAGTATTTGAAAAAGACCACTTGTTCTTGACTTTTTTTTTTTCTTGACTAATTTGCTGTGGAGGTTGAAGAGGCTTCTGAACAGAGCTATGAAGAAACTAAGGATGTATGAGGAGAGAGAGTCCCAGCTTCATTTTCAGGGAGAAATGAAGAATAGGTATTCTGAAATGGTCAGTGAAGTTGGTAGATTAAGAACAAAGGTGAGCTCTGGTTTGTTTGGGTTTTTTTGGTGGTGGTGGTTTTTTTTCTTTTGAAACCTGTGTTATTCTTTCCCCATACTCTTTTCATGTTACTGTCTTTTTTTTTCTTAGCTGTGTTTTGAGTTGATTGCCTTTTCTTGATGGTCCTTCTACTGTTACAGTAGTAGATGACTATAATACTGATGTAATTATTATGGGTAGAGATGAAAATATTACGTTGAAAGCAGTATGTGCAAGGGCACATCAAGGGCAAGCTGTCCTGTAGAGAAGAGCTCACGGGCCATGGAGCAGTCCCACAGGCCCTCACCAGGAAGAGCAGAACAGGTCCAGTGACAGTCAGCGGGGCCAGCCAAGAGTGCAGATCGCCAGGCCCATCCACAGGGACAGGCAGGTCTGCAGTCCTACCAGGACATCATGTCCGTGGGTGAGGGTCAGGGCTGAGAGCCATGTGTTCCAGCACAGGCCTGGCTGCAGCTCGAGGCTGTGGCAGCATCATCTAGGTCTGACAGGTTAATTCTTCTCTGGAAGAGAGGCAAGTAACACCGCTATAACTCGGAACCACTGTATGAAGTTGGCTTTGCTCATGATCAGCCCTTGAGCCCCGTCTTAGGCACCAGTTGAGCAGGAGGCAGTTTTCTAAACAGTGCCATTGCTTCCCAGGGCACAATGCAGTGAGGTGATGCAGAAAAAATTCTCGAACTTACTGCTCACCAGTAGCTGCTGTCTCAGCCCATCTTTCCCTTGTCATGGGGACCCAGAAGTAGAGTTCCCAGAAGTGCTGTTGTGGTTGCTCTGGCTGTTCAGTAGCATGTAACCTTTTATGTACTTCTCTGCTTGTTACTCGGACGTGTTGCTAAAGCAGCCATGCTTCAGAGCTATGTTTGTGTTTAAAAGTATTGTAGAATGAGTCAACTGCCTTTGCAGTGGCTCATTCTCAGGCCAAAAGTTAGTTCTGTTTTTGTGTTTCTGTTGGAAATTGTATTTTGAATGATGGGAAAGTGTATTACACTTAGGTAGTTTTAAGTAAGTCTTAAAGTTTCTACTTTCTCTTTGAGACTCTTTCGAGTGTTTACTATGCTAGTTTCTTCCACTTTTTTTAAATAAAAGACAGGGCATCATGGTTTATGTTCAATAGGTATAGAAAAAGTATGTTTCTGGAGGGGGAAGAGGAGAATGGAGCTGTAGTTGACCTTTAGGACCTATTGAAAGTCTTATTTCTTGCAGATTTTTGGAAAATAAACTGCAGCTTTGACCTAAAGAATATGTCTTCCTCCACCACTGCTGTAAAGGCTGTGTTCTGAACCACTACTTACAAATCTTTCAGTGTAATGGGAAAAAAAGACTATCTTTTTCTTGTCTTGTCAGTTTTGTAATGAAGCTTTGACTGTGGTGACGGCATGTAAAAATTCCTCTAAAGCATGATACATCTTGTTTCTGATGAAACCAGAAGGTAGCTAGGTATGGGTGTGTCTGATTTTTTTCCGTGGGCACGTCATGGAACAACAGCCCTAGTGCTTTTCAGCCTAGTGCTATGGGTGAAATGCTGCTAGTTTGCTACCTCTTAGTCTGTGACCTACTGAAGAAGAACTGAGAAAAGATGGGAACCTGAGGAATCCTATCAGAAATGATGTGAAAGCTGTTCTTGTTTTAAAAGAAGAGCCTGGTTTCACTTTGGTTTTCATACTGAGTCAGCAGATGACAACTACAGTCTTGATGGCCAACCCGTTTATGGATTTTCAGAATTAACTAATTGTAGATCCCTGTGAGTTCCTTTTTTTTCTTTTTTCTTTTTTTTTTTCCTCTATCTACAGGTTGGTGAACTTTCCCAGCAGCTGGAAATAGAGTCTAAAAAATGCGTGCAACTAGAAGCACAAAATCAGGATTTGCGAGAAGAATTGTCCACCATGCATGGGAACCATGAAAAACTGGAGAAAAGCAAATGCCAGCTGAAAGAAGAGGTGGCTAACCTCAAACATCATTTGGAGACTAACATGGTGGATCATAGCCAAATAGAACAATATAAAAAGGAGATGGAAGAACGAGCCGGACAAGAAATAAGACAAAAACTACAAGAAGTGAATCTGTTTTTGCAGGTAAGTGAATTTCTCACTTGTGTCTTTTGTATCTATTATATACTTTTGTTGTGATCATCATTTTTTAGTATCTTATTTTTAGTGCCTGATTCTGTGTGTTAGGGGTGTACTTCTTTCCTGAAGGGCAGTGGGATAAGGGAATATGGTTGGGCAACAGTGCTTTCGTATGTGTAACATGCCTGCAGGTCCCTTAATCAAAAGCTTGCCCAAGGTAGATTTCCATTTTGCAGTCCTCGGAGTGGTATTGCTGTCCACTGGTCTTGTTCTCACTGTTCATCCTTGAACGAGTAGCGCAACTTACAGTTGTCATGGCCAGACATACAGGTCCTGCTTTGCTAATTGTGCAGGGGAAAGTGCTGAGAAAAGAAGTCACCGAAGATGGTGAGGGTGGGGGTGTTGGAGTAGAGGGATCCTCATAATTTCTTTGAGCAACCCTTTTTCTATATGCCCTGTCTTACAAAGATAGCATTCTTTCATTAGTACCTTTGATGAATAATAGTGTTAAGAGGGGGGTTCTTTCTGAATGAAAAGAATTATTTAACACAGTAGTTCCAGGGTTCTGCGTTGATTTGCTGATAGTAGTGAGGAGACACAGTTGCTTCACTGAGTGAAGCTGGGCCCTTGAAATTGGGTATGTACAGTTGACTGGCAGGGAGGGTTCTCTTTTTCTTTGCGGTGGTTGAAATTGCATTATCTGCTTCAGACACAGGCAGCCTCCCAGGACAGATTAGAACAAATCAGAGCCAATCATCATGCTTCACTGAGAAACCAGCTAAAACACAGAATTAGAGATCTCGAATGTGAATTGGACAGGATAAAAAATACCCAACAAGACAGTATTTTTCAAAAAGAATCCACACAGGCAGAAGTGGAAAGGTACAAAGAGCTGTATCTGGAGGAAGTAAAAATTAGAAGATGCCTAGCCAATAAACTGGAAAGGTAAGTCCATGCGTTTTTTGGAGTGGTAATAAGATACTACTTCTTCCTCATGCATTTTCCTCCTAAAATCCCTCTTCATCTGGTCAGTATTATGTATGTAAGCACAAAATGGTGTATTTGTGAGGAAAGTACCTTAAGACCCTTCCCCTTCATTAGAACTGTCTTCGTTTCTCTTCAGTGTTCCAGCAGTAACACCACTGATCATGGCATTAATACCGTATTTTTTAAGTTGTGTTTTAACAGGCAGCCTTTTTGCCAATCTCTAATAATCTCTTCCTCTTACTCTGTGTATAGCAGAGAAGGTAAATTTCATGTCCTTTACTGCTTGAATAAAGATAGGCCCTTCAGAGAACATAATTTGATTCTGTGAAGCAAAAAAAATAAATCTTTTTTCACTTCCATTTCAGCAGTAAGTCAGCAGTGTCTGAGGTTTGAGCTTTCCTTGGGAAAGGGAGGGTAGCCCGGAGTTCTTATGCAGGTGACGTACCTTTCAGAAGAAGCTATGTAAACACATGGCATTCATAGATTGCTCTGAAGCCCAAATGTTGAGAAGTCCTAAGTGCTGGTAACTCTTGTTGCTCCTTGCAGGTAGTGTGACATCTTAAAAAATAGGCTCTCCAGAAAAAGCCTCAAATCGAATGATGTTCTTGTTTTGGGTGCTCTTAATCCCTTTCACTTTCAGAAGTCGAATAATAGTCAAAGACTTGGAAGGTAACTTTGTGAAAAGTATTGCTAAGAAAGATAATTCTTTCTACATCTCTGAATGTTTCAGAGCTAATGAGAGACTAGCAGAAGCCAACGCTAAGCTTCTTCAGGAGCGCCATAGAAGCAAATCTTTAATCGCAGGCAGCATTGTCAGTGGAGGTCTGGCTGCAAGTCCTGTTCTCTATTCAGCTGAACTGGGATGCCTTGGCAACAATTTGGCACTGAACAGAAGTCTAAGTCTAGGAGGAAGCTTCCTAAGCCCAACCAGGAACGCATTAACATCAAGAAACAGAGTTGAAGCCTATGTGGCTAAGGTAAGCATTTTGAAATACTGTTCTCAACTATTGCTAAAGCAGTAAGCAAGGCTGTGCTTTTTAGCCTAAAGTTAGAATCCATTTATAGTCCCAATCCATATGGTCTAATATGCCAAAACAGCTGCTAATCATCCAAACAGTACACAACTTTGTGGTGGGGTTGAAGACTTCTGGTCGACAGGGGTTGTACGGATTTCCAAGAGTGTTCAAAGACCAAAAAATACTGACCACTAAATAATGAACTGTGTAACTACATTCTTTTACAAGAGAAACTGTGGTAGAGAATGCTGTGGCATAGGAAGTTCCCACCTAAGCTCTTCATTAAATTTTAATATATAGTATGTATGACCTATTTAAAATGGTTAACTTCATGCTGAGTGCAAAATCCCATCAGGCATCTTTGAGACACCTTTTCCTTCTTCACAGATCTTCATTCTAGCAGTTTCTTCGCTGGAACTTGTTTTAGTACATTAATACCAACAAAGGGATGCTTCAAAAATAGGATGATATGAATGGGATCATGTAACTTCTCACATTCAGTGAGAAATTTCAGTGCGGAAGCATTTGTTTTTGTAGTTCCTGCTATGTGTTATTACATGAAAAGGTAAAGTTAACTACTCCTTGGGAAGTCTTCACAGCTTTCTAATTTTGCAGCAATGCTGCAACCTCTGCAGTACCTCTGGTCAAAGTATGCCCTGTAATTAGCAGTCAGCGTGATAGTACATCCCTCACAGAATGGTGAACATCATATCACAAGATTTGGAAACTAGATGTCAATAGCTGTAATCAGTTTCTCACCTAGCATAGGATTGAGGCATGGACAAGCTTCTCGGTTCAGTCAGTGTTCTCTCCCTCGCATATTCTGTTGTTGAAGAAACGTGAGAAGTATTCATTCACTGCTAAGTCCATCTTGGTTCAGTGGTCCCATCTGCATTGGGAGGAACCCATTTAAACAGTGTTTACATGCTGCACCTGGTTTAGAAAAAAAAACCAAACCACCACCACGAAAAACAAAAACCTGGGCAGAGCAGTGTAGCTAATGTATAGCAGTGGCAGTTACAGAGAGAACTTTTCTGTATCACTGTGAATGTGTTTTTTCAGGTCAGAGAGGTAGACATACATTACAGGAAGCACTCAGGAGGCAATTGGTACTGTACCATCTGCAGGGGCTGTTCTGCCTGCAACTAGTGGAAAGGAGGCAAATTCAGGGACCTACTGCAAAAGTGAAATACAGAGAAGGCCAGGACAAGGGAACAAGAGGATAGGGAGCAGGGAACAAGTGAGGAGAATGAAAGGACAGAGATGGGAGCAAGATGTTGAAGGAAAGGCAAAGGAGGGAAGCCATCCCACTTCTAGGAAAAAAGCTGCCCTGGTTTAAAAGAACAGTTAACAGTTGTGCCTTTTTTGATGAAGAAGAAATAGGGTTTTTCCCTATTTTTTAGGGGAAAAAGAAAGAGTACTCTTAACTGAATTGCAGCAACATTCTTCAGGTAGGCCTTTCCATTTTAATTTTCCAGAAGAAATTGGAAATCTCTGGGCATCTCAAAGTTTTGTTGGTATCAAGATAGATACCTTTACTGGTTTGCTAGCTTCCCTTAAATATATTACAGAAATTAAATATTTTGAAAGGCTATTTCATAACTCATTGTTTTTATCCAGTTGCTAATATATGCACGTATATATTTCAATTCATTACGTAGGCTGCTTTAAGGTTTTGTGAAAAATGGTTCGCAAATCTACTTGTGAAAAACTTTCGAGCTGATTCCAAGAAAAGTGTGCATTAGATCTGAGAATGGTGATACTGTTCTCACTCGGTGTCCTGAGTTCAACAGCAACCATAAGGTTTCTTTTCAGAGCATGTCTCTTACATTTTGTGATGGATTGCCATGCTGGGAATGCTTTTAGGTTTTGGTACTGTTTTTTGGAGGCTTTGCTTTGAAGGTTTAAAAAACAGAATCAAAAAACCCATCAGCCTTGAGCAGACTCTCAAGGAAGTTGAACAATTATGTATGACATTTCCCCAGTCTCCCATTACTGACGTCAGGTGGGATTTTCTGTTTGTTAGTTTGGGGGCTTTCCTATATACCTAAATTTCTCCTTCTTAATTCAGTTTTGTTAGTAAGACTTAGTCCCCTGAAGTTTTCTCTGATCTTGTTTACAACCTGCAGAGACTTTTACTTTGTTGTCAACAGAGGAGCTGAGGATAATTGCTCTTCCTTTACACAGTTTGTTGTCTTGGGATTAGCCTTTAATTCTAATATACTATGAAATTCTAAAATGTTCTTCTCTGAATGAAGGTGAATAAAACTATTGTTAAATCTTCAGAGAACTTACCCATTTCTTGCCATTTCTACCAGGTTCTCTTAAGAAAAAGCTGGAAACCTCAGCATGCCTGTTTTCCCTCAATCAAAGCAAAAGGCTGCTCTCTGGGACTTAGAATTACTGGTGTGAATTTCTCTTTCCTGTTACTAAATCCAGCTGCACATCTTTTTGTGATATTTCTTCCTGTAACCACTAGTTAGGGATCAACTGAGACAAAGTGTAATGGCACTGTCTGTAGCCTCAAGTCACTCAATGTTCCGTCTATTCAGGAAAGTCTTAAAACCCGATCTTCTCTTTCAGAGTCCTTCGGAAAAAAGGAACAGAGTTCGCAGAGATGTAGTAGTTGCTAGAGGATGGGCATCTAAGTGGATATTTCACTTAGAACTGCTAACTTAAGTTTTCTCAACTGTGTGCAGTATGTCATTAAGAGTGTTTGAAGTCATACTGTATCTCTGAGGAACTGAAAGTACAGGATTCCTGACGTGCATCAAAAAAAGGTGGATTGATTTCAAAAATAAGGCTTTAAGTCAGGCAGTAACGAAAGGGAAAAACTGCACGTATCCCTCTGCGTACAGTGATGGGTGGTGAATTGCAATCAGTTTCCAAAAGCAAAATTACCAGATGCACAGTCTGTGTTGTCATTTCTGCAGGAGTCCTGTGTCATTCAGTAGACAAGTTGGAGCATGAGGGAAGAATTGAGAGATGACAGTTTTAGTCTGTTTTGAAGTACTTAGCCAGTTATGCTGTTACCAGATTATTTTAAGACAGAAGAGTTTCTCTGACTCTAAGCCTTTTCTTCACTATTTGCTTCAATTATGCCTCAGATTTTTTCCAGTAACTCTACAGATTTTTTTTTCTTCTACAGAATTTGTCTTGCCTTTTAAATTCAAGCTGAGCAGTACCTTCTTGGCTGGAGATTACAAGTGTTCCTACCACTAAAGCTCATAATGACAGGGAGTTAAGGAGCTTAAATTGCAGTGTGCCTCAGGTAGTCCTCTTGCATTTTTTTATTTTTTTTTTAGTCAAAGCTCTCTGTGCAGATTTGGTGTTCGCAGTTGCTTCCTCAAGGTGAGAAAGGCTATTTGAAGTAGAGGATTCTTAAGAGGGGGATGTTTATGTAAATTTGGTTTATGGAAAAGCTTTTAAATAGCTTCATGGGCAAGGAGGTGAAAATACTTCACACTGCTAGTATTCAAAATGCTGGCACTAATTCTTCGTCCATGCAACTGTTGGATAAAACATAGGTAAACGGTGCCGATGCCAACAAGAGGAAGAAGTGCTCCTCTGGCAATTGGACACAGTTACCTTTAGACATAACTAAGGAATTTGGATCTTAAAGGCTTGAAAGATTTCATCGTTTTCCTAAACCGCTACTTAACGTGAGAGGCAAATATCAGTGATTATGCATATAGCCTTACATTTTAAAGATGGACATGTTGCAAGCTCAGCAAAAAATGAGCATTTTATTCTTAAAAAAAACATAAATAAATGTGTTCCATTACAGTATAGCCCCTTTCTGCTTATAAAATATATATGCTACAGAAATTAATAACCTTGAAATGGAAGTGCAAAAGTATCTTGAAAAATATAAAAAAGTTCATATTGACACAATTAACCAGAAAAATACCAATCATATGCAAATGTCTTTGGGGTTTTGGTTGTTTTTATTTTTATTAGAGCTCCAGTAATGAATAAATAAATATGAAAAATGAATAAATTAGTACTTGAAAAATTCTGTGCATGTAATTAAAAACAACAACCGTAGCAACTAGCAGTTCATTATGTTCTGGAAGGAGGTTGGCTGAAATTTGTTTCATAGTAGGACTTGTGTCATAAGAAGGGTGTGCATGTGTATTGCCTGTCCTTTACAGGAGTCAAGAGATCTTTGATCTTTTGGTCATCTGGTCTACTGACTCCCAAACTGCTCATGAATTGGCATGTTACCATTCAAAACTAAATTGAGTCAAGTGGATGAAACACCAATGTGAGGTAACGCTAGTGTCTGTGTACCATAATTTGCGAGCTGCTGCTTTAGCCTGTAGACTAAGGCGTGGAATGTCTGCTGTAAGGAGGTTTTGGGACTGGAATCCCACTGTTAGGATTTAAACTTGACATTTGTTAAACCTAACAGCTATGTGAAAGGCTGGTGAAAATGAATGTGGGTATCTTGACATAGAAAATAATGGTGAATTCTGCTAGCTGCAACCAATATGAATTAGTGGATTTAAGAAATCAATTTGCCTATGTAACACGAAAAAGGGAATGTCTGCTTCCTCCTCTCTCACTTTTTGTTTCTTTCCTGATTTCATTTTCCATCTACGCTCTCATATTGTAGCAGTCTTTGTATTGCTAGCTTTTTTTACTTGCTTCATTTATGTAGTAGGCCATATTTCTCACTAAAAACCTTTGAACTTAAGGCCATTTTCCTTTCTTCTTCAGCTCCTTAATCAAAAAAACTGTTCTTTTCTCTCTTCTCTGCAGCCAAATCCATGACGAGGTTTGTAGTCAGTATTGTTTAATGTTGGGTGGTATTTTATACTGGAAACGTTTTGTCTATTTATGCTGTTAGGTTTTGGTTAAAGCTTACTGATGCATTCATATTTTCCTAATACTGCAAATATTTCAAACTTGTTAGTTTGTCCGAGTGACAGAATGACTGCTGCAGAGTACTTTCATGCTTATGTATTTGTAATGGTATGGCTTCTGTGGGAGTTAACCATCTA